CTCTGTTATCTTGCCAGCATGGTGGTGATTTGGCAGGGAGACAAGTGGCCATCTCTGTACCTCATCACAGCTCTTTGCAAATTCCTGATCTCCTTTCTTTTTATTCCCCATACACTTCCGTATGGAGAGTAAATACAAATTACTTTTCTCTATAACTGGGCAAAAAAAATTAAAAAGCAAGCTGTACATACAATTAGGAGTCTTCGAAAGCTTTCTGGGATGAATTACATGCATTTAAATACCCTGTGTTGGTGTTCAGCGCAGAATTGTTTATAGGAAGGAAAAATTAGAAACAACCTAAATATTCATCAACAGGAGCCTGGAAGTCTAAATTTTGACATTTATAGACAATAGAAAACCAAGCAAATATTTAAAATGATTTTTATGAGGCTCTATATTTGTTAATCTAGAAAGTTGTCTATGATGTATGCTTGTATGGTCAAAGAATAAGATTACAGAACGAATATAATGTATTCCCCCTTAGTATATCTTCATCTATGGCTGAATATGCAGAGAAAATATAAACTTTTTCCCCTGATGCTCATCTACTCCCTTTCATAATCTTCCATTCAGTAGTTAGTGGGATGAAAAAAAAAAGCCACTAAATTTTCCATCTTGGTTAAACTTAACTCAATCTAATCATGGAAATTTCCAGTCTCTAGATGACCCCCTAGGAAGGCTGATTCTATCTATCACCTTGACTAGGCCAAGTGGTGCCCAGATATTTGGTTTAATTCTTTATAAAAAAATATTTATTTATTTATTTGAAAGTCAGAGTTACACAGAGAGAAGGAGAGGTAGAGAGAGAGACAGAGAGAGAGGTCTTCCATCTGCTGGTTAACTCCCCAGTTGCTGGCAACGGCCAGAGCTGAGCTGATCCAAAGCCAGGAGCCAGGAGCTTCTTCCAGGTCTCCCACGGGGGTGCAGGGGCCCAAGGACTTGGGCCATCTTCCACTGCTTTCCCAGGCCATAGCAGGGAGCTGCATTGGAAGAGGAGCAGTTGGGACTCGAACCAGTGCCCAAATGGGATGCTGGCACTGGAGGCGGTAGCTTTACCTGCTACACCACCACACCGGCCCCTGGTTTACATTCTTGTAAGCGAGTCTGTCTGTTTCTGGGTGTGGTTAGCATTTAAATTGTTGGACAGAATAAAGCAGATGCCCTCCCCAGCACTGGGTAGGCCTCATCCAACCCACTGAGGGCCCGGGTAGAACAATGAGTCAGGAAGGGAGAATTACTGTCTCTGCTGGGCTTCAATCCTCGATGCCTCTGAGTCACTCACTCACAGCCTAGAACAGCCCCATCAGCTCCTCTGGACCCCCAGTTTGTCAACTGCAGGTCTTGGAGTTTCTCAGCCTCCATAGACACAGGAGCCAATTCTTCGTTTCTCACATTTACATAAAAGATATATAAGGGTGCTTCCAAGAGTTAGTGGAAAGTGCAATTAAAAGAAAAGTTATTTTGATGCAAATTTTTTTGAAATCCATGTATAGGTTTTTCATATGTATTTTCCATGAACTTTTTGAAGACCAGTTATATACATGGATTGTAAAAACAAATTTACAACAAAATGAAATCTCTTTTAAGTCCATTTTCCATGAATTTTTTGAAGTGTCCCTGGTCCCTCAGCCAACCTCCCAGGCTGCTGGTCTCTTTCTCAGCTTGCCCAGAGTAGGAGCTCCTTCCTAGCCAATCTGGGTGTACCTGTGTTTCACAGCCTCAGACCCCGGGTCTCTGCCCAGGTCTCCATCCTGTCTACAGGCCCAGGGGCCACCCCAGCCTCTGCAGTGGAGTCATGAGGCTTCACCTTAGAAAGTACCCCAAGCAGGCCCATCAGGCCTCCAGCCACTGTCCCCCCAACACAGGAACTCAGGAGGATCAGGAAAAAAAATGCTCAGGCCCCACCTTGGCCTGACAATGCTCCCCTCCAAGGTGGTACCACTGTGCCCAGCAGGACTTGCTGAGAGGGAAGTCTTCTCAAAGTCCTGAATAAGGAATCAAGATCAAGGCTTCCTCTGCCTGCAGTGTCACTCTCCCTTCAGAAACACACCTCCAAGGCCTAGGACACCAGGCTGGATTTCAGCAGCTTCCTTTCTCTCCCTTAAACTTCCTTCCTACCCTCATCCAGGGCTGGGGAAAAACAAAGGAAGCCCTCTTGTTCCTTATATATCTTATCCTACTTGTGCCCACAGGTGATAAGTCCTGTGATGAGCAAGGTCTTCTAAGTTGGGCCTTTGAAGAGAGGAAATCAAATTACGTAGGACACACTCTCTCAAGCCTGTTACTGTCCTGCCCTATCATCTGTTTTGTATGCTACCTGCTGCAAATTGCCTTGTTGTTTCTCTCTATGTATCTTCTTTTAAAAAAATCTAAATTTCCCCAGGGCAGATAAACATTAAAGGCCAACCTGAGCAAGGGTCCTGGGCTCAGAAAAGAGCAATATAAAGGCACAATGCAAGAATATTAGCTTCCAACAGTCACATCTGGAAGAGAGTTCATCAAAATGATAGAGTTCAGTATTTTTTGGACAGGAGGATTACGATGATTTTTAACTGGAAGGACATATCAAGAAGTTCATAGTTACTGGAATTAAAATGTTTATTTTGGTGCAAAAAAAAAATTTGAAACCCGTGCACATGAAGAGAATCAAAAAATTGATAGAAAATGTGTATTATGGGAAAATAATGTATAGATTTTTAAAACTGTTTTGCGTTGTTAAATCAACAATAAGAGTCACTGTGCACTTACTCCCCATGTAGGATCTCTGTCCTTCATGTGTTGTACAATGTTTATTAAGGGTATAGCTAGTACTCAAACAGTACTTTATACTTTATGTTTCTGTGTGGGTGCAAACTGTTGAAATCTTTACTTAGTATATACTAAATTGACTTTCTGTATGTAAAGATAATTGAAAATGAATGTTGATGAAGAATGGGATGGGAGAGGGAGTGGGAGATGGGATGGTTGCAGGTGGGAGGGTGATTATGGGGGGAAAAAGCCACTATAATCCAAAAGTTGTACTTTGGAAATTTATATTTATTAAACAAAAGTTTAAAAAAATTTTAAAAAATAAATCCTTATGATTCAAAATAAAAAAAGAAATAGTAAATTTCAAAAAATAAAAAATAAAAAGACTGTTTTGTACCAAAATAAACTTTATTATTTAATTCCATTTTCCTACAAACTTTCTTTGATTAGAGAGAGAGACAGAGCTTCCATCTACTGGTTCACTCCCCCAGATGGCTACAACAGCCAGGACTGGACTGGGCTAAATCTGGGAGCCAAGAACTCAGTCCAGGTCTCTCACAAGGGTCACAGGGAATCAACTACCTGCTGCTTCCAAGGGTGCATATTAGCAAGAAGCTGGAATCAAAAATAGAGTCAGCATTTGAACCCAGGAACTGATAATGTGGCACAGGTTTCATAACCGGTGTCTTAACCAGCAGGCCCAACCATTGTCCACAGATTTTTGAAGTGTTCTCACACAGTGCTGTGCAGGAGAGGCCAGCCCCTCGAGGCCAACACAGCCCTACTTATGTTCTGATGGCCTTGCTGCTGTCACCCCAGTTGTTGAAAACAGAGTAAAATCAAGGTGAGGGTGGAAGCAGGGAGACCTCAGGAAGCTCCAACTGTGTTCCAGGACAGCAAGGATGGCGCTCCTTCCATTTTAACTGCTGGCCCATGTACTGGTTTCCTTTGAACAAGATCATCACAAACCTAGTGGCTGAAAACAACACAGAATTATTACCTTATGGTTCTGGAGGTTACAAGTCCAGAATGGGTTTCACTGGGATCAACCAAGCTGTTGAGCAGGGCTGCATCTCTTCAGGAGGTTCTAGGGGGGAATCTGTGTTCTTCCCTTTTCCAGCTACTAGAGCCTGTCCATGTTCCTTGGATCATGGCTATCTCCTCTGTCTTTTAAAGCCATCAATGGCCAGAGGAGTCTCTCATTATATCACTTGTGATTGATGGCGCCCACTCAGAAAGTCTAGGAAAATCTCCCTATCTTAAGGTCAATTGATTAGCAACCTTAAGTCCATCTGCAACCTTCAACCATGTGACTTATTCATTAACCCTAGAGATTAGGAGGTGGAAATTTTGGTGGGACCTCCATTCTGCCAACCACATCTCCATGGGCCAATCAGACTCTCTCCTGTGAGATTTTAGAATCTCCACTGAGGGTCATTCATCTGTCAGGTTGCTTATTTGATCTTACAGAGTACAGGAATTAAATGATATAATTTAGGTTAAGTTCTTGGTACAGCTGCAGTCACATAAGAAATGCTCACTAAAGGTTAATTGCTATTGGCATCATCAAGTATCCCCAGAGATGGACTTACTCGTACGTGTTCAAGTCTCTCCATTACTTTAACTTCAGTGCAGTTACTAATAACATTTTTGAGTATTTTCCATATGCACTATTCATTTCACCTTTAACATATCCCCTTGAGAAAATTACTATAATAAAATGAGGAAAATGAGATATAAAAAACAACTAAGTCTCATTTTCCTCATTTTCAAGGGCACATAACCCAGAAATGACAGAAGTAGTATCTGCACCTCATTCTCCTAACTTGCACCCGTTCCAGTGTTTATGAGAGCATTGTGAGTGGATGACAGTCAAGAAGAGCAAAGCCTGCTTAGCACTAGTTATACAGCAAAAACATAGTCACTATTTAAAGGCATTTTCATAAAAAGCACACATGCCCTGTGAAAGGATTCCAAACACCAGAAAGTGCAGTTCCTTTTGATATCACACAATATGTCAATTTCAAACTCATTTAAATAAAATAAGTAAAGGGTGGGAAGAATGAGTTCTGAAGTCAGGCTCAGAGTCGAAGAGCAGAAATGGCACAGAGTCTCCCAAGGAACTGGGTCGATCAAACTCTTAGGAAATAATGTGAAATGGGATGTGCATCCTATTAGTCAGCATTTCATTACTATAACAAAATGCCTGAGGCAGCTAATTTATAAAAGAAAAGAGATTTTTTTTGACTTACAGTTCTGGAGGCTCAAAGTCCACGATCAGGTGACTTCCATTGGCTGAGCCTTTGGTTCTTGCTAGCAGAGTTCCAGGGGGTGCAGAGTGCTACATGGTAATAGACTAGCAGTGTGTCAGCCTATGTCTCTATGGTCTCTTATAAAGCCACCAGGATTTACCCATGGGGGCTCCACCCTAACAACCTAATCCAATCCAATCACCTCCCAAAGGGCCCACCTCCAAACGCCATAGTTTAGTTCCCACTCTTTTAGTACCGTCAACATAAGACTTGAGGGAACCAAACCTCTAATACATGGAACTTTGGAGGACATTCAACATCCAAAACCACTGCATACGAGCTGAGATTTTCACAGGAACTGCTTACCTATACTTAGTCACATCAATCAAAACACATTGATTGCAGGCAACTCTATGCAGGAAAGACAAATCAGCCCCTGCTCTTGGAGAGCTCACTGTTCAGTGACTCCAGTGCACCCTGGAGATGCGTTGTGTGGCCTGTGCTCTTCATTCAGGACCACACGCAGAAGGCCCATGAGTGAGCAGGCTGCTGTGCTCACCTGAGGGTTATCCTTTAGGAAGCTGCACCTCCCTGCCCCCCTCCTAGCCCACTCACCCAACATGCTCAATGGCACCACCGTGCCGGCTGCAGCAGGGAACCTTCTCTGGCCGGCCACTAGTGGAGAACCATGCACAGTCTCCTGAGACATAGTACGGTTAACGAAAACAACACCAATCTGTGAGTCAGAAAAACTGTCCTCCAGTACAAGGTCCCTTCTTGTTTACTGGATATTTCCCTTGACCTCCATTTCCTCCTCTGCAAAACAAGGAAGCCAAATGAAAACTGACATCTCCTTCCCCTCTAAATGCAAGGTATTTCACAGCTCTGCCACCTTGATTGTGTGAACTGAAGGGTGGCTTCAATTCCACGTCTTGCTCCAGAATAATGCGGTGAGGAAAGCATGTGAGAAGCAAGGAGAGCGCAAGGAGTCAATGTGTGTTCAACTCCCACCTCCTGTCACCAAGGACGAGCATCAGAACAGAACTCAGCTTAGCAGAATGTCCAAGCTCAAAGATCAGCAAGGAGAGTTTCCCACAGCTGTCAAGATCAGGTCTGAGACCCACACAGTCTCCCACAGCCTCTGCCCACCACAGGGATCCCAGCTGCCCTGTCTCCTGAACCTTCTCTCAACAAAACTCCTTGGCCAGCACCTGGTTAATTGTCACCATGGTCTCTTTCTAAGACTCCCAGGTCTCTGCCCAGTGAGAGCTCCATCTATATCTCACATGGTAACGTTAGCAATCTCCCCTCATGGGACTTTACAATGAGAGGAAGACAGATCAACCCAATTCCAAGCACAACCTCAAGTTCTTGAAGATACTTTTAAAACCAAATCTTGGATGGCGGATTCCTAGAAAATATAACCAATAACTAGTCCTGCATTTGTGTACTACAACTTCTCTTTTTAATGCTCGGCAAACATTCTACACTGTGCGATTTGTCACAAGTGTCAAAGTTCTGGCCCTCACATGGTGATTTGCTCCAGAGACACTGCAATGACTCCTACTGGGTGGTGAGTAGGAAAATGTTTGCAATTAATACTAGGGCAGGAATCGGGCCAGGATTTAACCCTTGCCTCTTCTGATTACCTTATCATTGCATTGTTTAAAGTCTCTTCTTAATTCTCTAATCCTTTCTTCTTAACACCTCTTTTTGCTTCAGATGAAGTGTTTCCAAGGTCTTATAAAGTATATATTTTATCAATGGTAAATAGACCTTTAATAGATTATTTACACTTTTTAAAAAAGATGTATTTATTTATTTGAGATGCAGAGTTACAGACAGAGAGAGGGAGAGACAGAGGTTTTCCATGTGCCGATTCACCCCCCAGTGGCCACAACAGCAGAAGCAGGACCAATCTGAAGCCAGGAGCTTCTTCTGGATTTCCCACATGGGTTCAGGGGCCCAAGCACTTGGGCCATCTTCTACTGCTCTCTCAGGTCATTAGCAGAGAGCTGAATCGTAAGAGGAGCAGCTGGGACACCAACAGGCACCTGGATGGGATGCAGGAGGAGGCTTACTACCACGCCAGTGTGCTGGCCCCAGATAGATCTTTAATGATCTTTACAATATGTTTTGTGGTTATGGTCTGTCCATGTTGTGTTATTGGAAATTTATATTTTGCTAAACATTTTCAAATACATCATAAAATTTCATATAATCTCCCACTATAATTATTGTCACCATGCACCTGCCTGTGGTTGCATCTCCATTTTCAGTCCTAACACTGCATATGTTTGTTTTCTTTTCTACCAAACCTGAAAATATTTGACCTTCTAGCCCTCATCTCTGTTCTACTCTCTTAGGCCTCACCCATGCTCATGGCTTCAGCTACCATCTGTGGGCTAAACAGACTCAAACCTTTTTTCTTAAGTTTGCTGGCTTAATTTTGAAGGCACTTCAAAAAGTTGGTGGGAAAATGGAATCAAAATATAAATATATTTTGGTTTTAAGAGAAAAAGAAATCTGGGCCAGCGCTTTGTCACAGCAGGTAAAGCTGCTGCCTGCGCATCCCAAATGGGTGCCAGTTCGAGACCCGGCTGCTCCACTTCCGATCCAGCTCTCTGCTAGGGCCTGGGAAAGCAGGAGAAGATGGACCAAGTCATTGGGCCTCTGCACCCATGTGGAAGACCCAGAAGAAGCTCCTGGTTCCTGGCTTCAGATCAGTGCAGCTCCAGCCATTGCAGCCAACTGGGTAGTGAACCAGCGGATGGAAGACCTCTCTCTCTTTCTCTCTGCCTCTCCTCTCTCTGTGTAACTCTGACTTTCAAATAAATAAATAAATCTTAAAAAAAATCCATGCAGATTTTGGTAACACATAATTTCCATAAACATTTTGAAAGAATCAAACTTCTATCTTTAGCCCTGACCTTGTCCCTGAGCTCTGTAACCACAAAACAATTGCGTGTTCTAAATCTCCATGGACATTTGAAAAGTTATCTTATGGGGCTGGCATTGTGGCATAGCAGGTAAAGCTGCTGCCTACGATGCTGGCATCCTATATGGGTGCTGGTTTGAGTTCCAGTTGCTCCAATTCCTATCCTGCTTCCTGCTAATGGCTTGGGAAAGTAGTAGACAATGGTCCAAGTCTTTGGGTCTGTGTGGGAGACCCAATCTCCTGGCTCCTGGCTTTGGTTTGGCCCAGCCCTGGCCATTGAGACCATTTGAGGAGTGAACAAGCAGATGGAAGATTCCTCTCTCCCTCTCTCTCTCTCTCTCCCTCTAACTCTGCCTTTCAAATAAATTTTTTTAAAAAAAAGTTATCTTATGTGTGTTGTACAAAATGGAATTCATTAAACCTCAGCTCCTCTACTCTACCTTATTTCATCCATATCAACTGCTGCCTATCTCAGTCTAAACACCTCTTAATTCCTTCCACTCCACTCAACCCTGAGTGTCCTGAAGTATTCTAGATGACTGTGCTGCCTGCTGAATGGGATCCATATATCCCCTTTGTCCTCTTTCCAGTGGATTTTCTTGCTACAGCCTAAGCAATCTTTTTTAAATTTTGAAATAATTTGAAACTTACAGAAAAATTGCAAATTTGTGAAGAATTCATAGTCCCCAGAGTCTTTAAATATTAACATTTTATAATTTTTTTTATCATGATGGGTTTATCATTCATCTCTCTTTCATGGTCTCTTTCATTCTCATTTATTCTCTTTCTCACTCTCTCCTCCTCTCATGTCTCATGTCTATCTCTTTCCCACCCTTCCCTCTCTCCACATAAGTGCATTTCCCCTAAACCTTCTGAAACTAAGTTGCATACAAGCTGTCCCTGCACTCCTATGTATTCCGGTGTGTAAAGACAATATTCTTTTAGACAATCAGAGCACAATGATCAAAATCCAGAGATTGACATGGACACCGAGGACTGAATCAACAGACCTTTCTCAAGCATTTCAAATCCCAGCAATGTCCCTTATAGTAACGGATAGAAGTTCTGGCACAAGGCACAGGGGCCCATGTCTCTTTAGAGTTCTTCTACCCAGAACAGTCCCTAGTCTTTTTCTACTTCAGTTTTTTTCCAGGATGCAGGGCATTTATTTTGTGGGATGTCTTCCCAGTTGTGTCTTATGTTTTCCCATGAATGAATTCCTATCACAGCAGAGTCACAGAAAGGACATTGTGTTCTCAATGTATTGCATGAGGAGGCATGGGGTGTAGATTCTTTAGAATACCGGTGGTGGTAACTTTGAGCACTTGGTTATAGGTCTCTCCACTTAAAGTAACTATTTTCCCTTTGCAATCAATAAGTATCTTCTTTGTGGAGGGGTGGACACTGTGGCATAGTGGATTAGGCTGATGCATGGAACACCCACTGACTTTTTTAAATATTTATTTATTTATTTGAAAGGCAGAGAGTTACAGAGAAGCAGAGACATAAAGAGAGATAGAAGTCTTTCTTTTGCTGGTTCACTCCCCAAATGGCCACAGCTGCCAAAGCTGGGCCCATCCGAAGCCAGGAGCCAGGAGCTTCCTCCAAGTCACCCATGCAGGTTTAGGGGCCCAAGTACTTGGGCCTTCTTCTACTGCCCTTCTAGGCTATAGCAGATAGCTGGATCAGAAGTGGAGTAGCCGGGCCTTAGAACCAGCACTCTTATGGCATGCCAGCACTGCAGGCGGTGGCCCCACACCCACTGATTTGAATCCTGGTTATTCTGCTTCCAATCCAGCTCCCTGGCTGGGAAGCAGGAGATGAAGGCTCAGGTACTTGGGTCCCTGCCACCCACATGGGAGACTCGGATGCAGACCTGGCTCCTGGTTTTAGCCAGGCTGAGTCTTGGTTTTTACAGGCATGTTGGGGGTGAATGAGTGGATGGAAGATCTCTCTCTCTCTCTCTCTCTTCCCTGCCTTTCAAAATAATAAATAAATAAATATTTTTTAAAAATAAATGGAGCAAATATCCTTGTCTTTTTAAAAAAATTTTATTGTTGCAACATACTTTGAGACTATTTGAAAGCCCTGTTTCTTATCAAACTTTAATCCACAAGGTCTCACATTAACTGATACGCTCTGCCTTGAAACTTTCAATGATTTCTCATGCCCTTCTGCTAGGCACTGGAATCTTTATTGGGCAAAGGCCCTGAGTGGTCTGGCCCTTGCTCACCTGGGCAGCCCTCATCTGGAGTGACTTTCCCACTTGCTCTTGACTCAAGTCACACTGGCTGCCCTTGGTCACACACTAATGCATTGGGCATTTTCCCTAGCTAGGACTTTCCTTCAAGCTGCCCCCTCTGCCTGGAAGGTGTACTCAGTTCCTCCTGGCCTGGTTATTTCTGGCTCGACTTAGATATCACCTTCACATGGAAGAATTCCCTGTGTCTTCACACTAAATTAAGTCCTATAACACTTTAAAAAAAATATTTAGCAGCTAGCATTGTGACATAGCGGTTTAAGCCACTACCTATCACACCAGTTTCCCATATGGATGCCAGTTCATGTCCCAGCTGTTGTACTTCCATTCCAGCTCCTTGATGATGGCCTGAGAAAACAGCAGAGGACGGTACAAGTGTTAGGGCCCTGACACTCCCATGGGAGATCTGGCTGAAGCTCCTGGTTCCCTGCTTTGGCCTGGCCCAACACTGGCCACTGTGGTCTTTTAGGGAGTGAACCAGTGGATGGAAGATAAGTCCCTCTCTCTCTCTCCCTCTAACTCTGACTTTCAAATAAATAAATAAATGTATTTAAAATGTTCGTTTTTCATCTACTTGAAAGGTAGAGCAACAGTGAGATCTTTCATCCCCTGCTTCCCTCCCCAAATGCCTACAATAGCTGGATCTGGGCCAGGCTAAAGCCAGGAGCCCAGAACTCAATCTGGGTCTCCCACATGAGTGACGGGGCCCAAGGACTAGTGACATCATCTGCTGCCTCCCAGGATCCATTAGCAGAAAGATGTATCAGAAGTGGAATAGACAAGACTAGAACCAGGCATTCCAATGTGGGATGCAGGCATTCCAAGTGGTGGCTTAACCCTCAGTGCCACAAAACCTGCCCTCTATATACTTTCTCATGGTGGTAGGAGTCACTGTTAGTTGCTTCCTTTCTTTTTTCCCTGAGATAAGAGAACAAGTTACCAAAAAAAGGGATTTAGGGAAAAATTTTATGGACACCCAAAGACCATAATCAAGAGGTCCGCTGCCAACATGCCTTCCTCTCCTGGTCAGGGTGTTGACCTTGACCACATCAGTGTCACAGAGCCTCTGCACAGCCTGAGCTCATGCCACTACCCTTGACGTCGACAATGATCACAAGTACATATTGTTCTGCATGGCAGACTCAGTGCTCAAGGGGAGTTGATGATGGCATAATGGTCAGGCTTGTTTCTCCTGGAGGAACTCTTCAGTTCCTGGCTACTTCCAGGGATGCAGTGTCTTGGGCTTCTGGGAGGTGAGTGATTTGTGGATCTTCTTTTTTTTCTAAATGGCTGTGGACAATTTTCAGCACTGCCTCTTGGCCTTCAAAGCTTTGGCTTCGACTTTGGGAGAGGCAAGAGCTTTCTTCTTCACCTTCGGTGCCATCTTGGTGAAAAGTTCATTAAAGTTTTATCATGAGATTGCAGCAATTTAATCACACATGTGGGCCACACTGATAGTTCTAGTTCTCTTGCTTTCCACCACATCTGCAGTTACTTCTTCCATCGAAGTCTTGAATCCCTCAAAGTCATCCATGAGGGTTGGAACCAACCCCTTCCAAACTTCTGTTATTGTCGAGATTCCCACCTCCTCCATGAATCATAAACATTCCTCATGGTTTCTAGAAAGGTAAATCCTTTCCAGAAGGTTTTCAACTTCCTTTTCCAAGATACATCAGAGGAATCGCTTTCTGTGGCAGCTATCGCCTTACAAAATGTATTAAGTAATAAAACTTGAAAGTTAAAGTGACTCCTTGATCCATGGGCTGCAGAGTGGATGCTGTGTCAGTAGGCATGAAAGCAACATTAATCTCATGCGTCTCCATCAGTGCACCTGCTCACCCAAGTGAGCAGAGGTACTTCGAAA